GGGGAGGACAGTTTGATATATCACAAGGTGATATGTACTTAGCTTTTGACCAGATTTCCCATTTCTGGGCATTTGACCTATGGAGAAAAACCACATTTGGGGAAAAAAAAGTGTCTTCGTTGTACCACGGTTTATAATCTCATTATATCAAGAACTCAAAATAACTTCTATCAAGAGGAAACTAGCTAAATAAATTATGATGCAGACATAAAAATCCCTAGGAAGCCTTTAAACATAGTGATGTGGGGTGCCTGGGCAGCTCAGTCAGTTGAGCCTCCAACTTCAGCTTAGATCATGATCTCACAGTTCGTGAATTCCAGCCCCGCGTCTGGCTTTGTGCTGACAGCACGGAGCCTGCTTCGGATTTTCTGTCTCCCTCTCTATCTGCCCCTCCCCCATTGGTGCGCACTCCCTCTCAAAAATAAACATTAATGGCACAAAAACAGACACATAGACCAATGGAATAGAATAGAAACCCCAGAACTAGACCCACAAACGTATGGCCAACTCATCTTTGACAAAGCAGGAAAGAACATCCAATGGAAAAAAAAGACAGTCTCAATCAAATGGTGCTAGAGAATCAGCAACATGCAGAAGGTTGAAACTAGACCACTTTCTCACACCATTCACAAAATAAACTCAAAATGATAAAGGACCCTGAATGCGGAGACAGGAAACCATCAAACTAGAGGAGAAAAGCAGGAAAAAGAACTTTCGACCTCAGCTAGCAATCTTTACTGATTATCCCCAAAGGCAAGGGAATTAAAAGTGCGAATTACTGGGACCTTATGAAGATAAAAGTCAGCAAAGGAAACAACCAACAAACTAAAGGCAGCCAACTGAATGGGGAAAAGATATTTGCAAATGACATATCGGACAAAGGGCTAGTATCAACCCATAAAGAGCTCACCAAACTCCACACCCGGCAAATAACCCAGTGAAGAATGGGCAGAAAACATGAATAGATACTTCTCTAAAGAAGACCGATGGCCAACAAGCACATGAAAAAGATGTTCAGCTGCCGCCCTTATCAGGAAATACAAATCAAAACCACACTCAGGTATCACTCCTCACGCCAGTCAGAGTGGCCAAAATGAACAAATCAGGAGACTATAGATGCTGGCGAGGATGTGGAGAATGGGAACCCTCTGGGTAATTGTTGAACGTACTGGTGCAGCCAGCCTGGAAAGCAGTGTGTGGAGGTTCCTCTCAGAAAATAAAAATAGACCTACTCCTATGATCCAGCAATAGCACTGGGAATTTATCCAGGGACACAGTGAGTACTGGATGCATAGGGGCACTTGTACCCCAATGTTCATAAGCACTCTCAACAATAGCTGCAAATTATGGGAGGAAAGAGCCTAATGTCCATCAACCGATGAATGATAAAGAAATTGTGGTTTATATACAATAAATGGAGTACTATGTGGCAATGAGAAAATGAAATATGGCCTTTGTAGCAACGCGGGATGGAACTGGAGCGCGGATGTGCTATGTCATACAGAGAAAAGACAGATACCATATGGTTTCACTCTTTACAGTGAGAAACTTAAGAAACCCATGGGGAGGGGAACAAAAAAAAAAAGAGCTAGAGGGAGAGACAAAGTGACAAGAGACTGTTGAGAACCGAGAACAACCATGGGCTGATGGGGTGAGGAGGAGGAGGGTGGCGATGGGCACGAGGAGTGGCACCTTTTGGGACGAGCACTGGGTGCTGTATGGAAACCACTGGACAATAAATTTCATATATTAAAATAAACAAAATGTCAGTAACAAATAAAATAAAATAAATAAATAAAATATTGCAATTTTTTTAATTTTTTAACATGCATTTTGAGACATATTTGCAGAACACAAGCAGGGGAGGGCCGGCAGTGGGAGACACAGCACCTGAGAAAGCCCAGGCTCTGAGCTGTCAGCACAGAGCCTGACAGGGGGCTTGAACCTACCAGCCGTGAGATCATGACCTGAGCCGAAGTCAGACACTTAACTGACTGAGTCACCTAGACGCCCCCAAATTTTTTTTTAATTATGATGCAAGTAGATTTTTATTGTCATGAGAAGTTGTCCATCACATATTGAGTGGGGCAGAATCAGATTGCCAAATACCTGCACGATAAGATGCCATTTGTGTAAAATATCTTTGTGCTTGGAGATTTTTTTTTTTTAATTTTTTTTTTTACATTTATCTATTTTTGATAGACAGAGAGAGACAGAGCACAAGTTGGGGAAGGGCAGAGAGAGAAGGAGACACAGAATCTGAAGCAGGCTCCAGGCTCTGAGCTGTCAGCACAGAGCCTGATGCGGGGCTCGAACTCACGAGCCATGAGATCATGACCTGAGGTGAAGTCGGATGCCCAACCGACTGAGCCACCCAGGCACCCCTGCTTGGAGAGCTTTTTATGGAATGATGTCCAAAATGATACTAGGGGTTATATAGCAGTGGTGGAATTTTAGGTGATTTTATTAACTTTGTTCTACATATTTTTGTATTTAATTTAGTTAAAAATCAACCTCTATAATTTTTTGAGAAAATTATAAAACTCTCTTGCAAGACTATGCATTTTAGAAGTCACATTTTTGTACTTAATCAAAGCTTGAATTTTAGTTAAATACCCTTCCCCTATCATTATTTTTTAAAACCTCAAAACCATCTACTAAAGGCATAAAGAAATTTATTATTCTGGTGATTATATGCACATGGTGTAGAATACTGTCTTGGGCTCTTCCTTTGGAAAAGTTTATTATGTGCTTTAGTCTTTATGGAGTTCTTTTTATGTGGAGGTATGCCAGGTATTAAGGACTTTGGGGTGTGGCAACATTCACGGGCAGGAGCAGGACAAAAATGTTCTCCATCTGTTCTGTCATTGGGATAATTGTCTGGGGTCCACATATTCTCTCTTCTACTCTTTTGTCCCCCTTCTCAGGAGAATAACATTATTTTTTTAATGTTTTATTTATTTATTTATTTATTTATTTATTGTTTTCAACGTTTATTTATTTTTGGGACAGAGAGACAGAGCATGAACGGGGGAGGGGCAGAGAGAGAGGGAGACACAGAATCGGAAACAGGCTCCAGGCTCCGAGCCATCAGCCCAGAGCCCGACGCAGGGCTCGAACTCAGGGACCGCGAGATCGTGACCTGGCTGAAGTCGGACGCTTAACCGACTGCGCCACCCAGCCGCCCCAATGTTTTATTTATTTTTGAGAGAGAGAGCTCATACATGCGTGCAAGCAAGCGGGGGAGGGGCAGAGAGAGAGGGAGACAGAGGATCCAAAGCCGGCTCTGCACTGACAGCAGAGAGCCTGATGCGGGGCTCGAACCCAAGAGCCGTGAGATCATGACCTGAGCCGAAGTTGGATGCTTAACCGACTGAGCCGCTTGGGTGCCCCAGGAGAGTCACATTTGACGATGAATTTTTCTTGGAGCACATTATAAGTTAGGAACTGTTCTACATACATATCGTGTATTTTATGTATTTAATCCTCACAGCAATTCTGTGAAATTGATACTACAATTACATTATTTTACAGATGAGGAACCTGAGGCACAGAGAGGTTAAGTAAACTACCCAAGGTTACTCAGCTAGGGCATGCAGTCCAACATGCTGGGAGTGGAGCCCAACGAGTCTGGTTCCAAAGCACCTGTGGTCTTAACTGCCCTACTCCACTGCCTTTCTGACTTTCCTCATAAATACGACTCCAACGCCTCTTGCTGGGGACCTTGTTCTCTCCCAAACTGTTGTTTCTACTAGAAATACCATGGAGGCTGAACTTGTTGAGCACACTTGACTGGACTCTCCTGCAGCACATGCTTCTGTGGGGTCACTGTCTTTGCTGTCCCTATATTTACCCATTGATTCCCTTAGGCTTTTACTTACCATTTCTTTGCCATCCTCTTTTCTGAAATGTTCGGATTTCCCACTCTTTGAAGCTGGAGATGCAGCTGGGAGAGAAAAAAAATTTAATGCTCATTAGGTGTTTCAGCTTTGCATCCAGACCCATTAGAAGAGCGTTCAGTGCTAAGGCGGTGAACATTCACTGCTCTTCCTCGGGAAGGCAGAGCCTTCTCAACCTCAGGCAGAGCGAGATGCTGGTGCCCTGCCTGCCTGAGCTTTGAGTCTGGCCCCTTGGGGAAAACATAAGACCATGGTTAATTCTGATCATAGGGGAGATTCACATTCGTTGTGAAAATCTTTGGAAAATATAAAAAAGTGTGAAGGAAACACATTGAAAGCACTTGCAACCCTGCCATCCTGTGATAACCACTAGAAACTGTCATTTCCATGCTTGTCTTTTATTTTTAAGGAATTCACATTCATTCATGAAGACTATGTAAGTCGTCAAAATAAATGACTTCTAAGAGATGATTTTAGAAAATGCCCATACATGGACTTTAGTGGGGAGGATTATTGTTAAATTTAAAGATGTGCCAAAAGTTGGTGAAATTTAAAGTTCTTAATTTTAATCTCCAGTTTGATATTTCTAATTGCAGAAAGGAAATCATTGTGCATGTTTGAAAAGATTAGGATGGAATCAAAGAAAAAAGTATAATGACCTCTGGGGTTTTTCTTTGCTCCTTGCAAGTGATTTTTTCATTTATTTTTGCCTCGTATGGGCTGCATAAACAGTAGGTATTCAACTGATGCTTATGGATTGGCTGAGAAGAATGTTCATGTGTACAAGATTATCTACCTGAAATCCCATTAAAACTGAACTTTTAATATTTGTAATTTGATTGTTATTGTTTTTGCTCTCTTATTGTGATTGAAATGTAGTAAAATCTATTTAGGATATTTTACTGTTTATCTGGGAAGGGAGCTATAATCAACAACAAAAGAAACCCATGTGATATGACATATTACAAGTAATAATTATGTTAAGTTTGGTTCAGGTGGAAATACCTTGTGCTGAACATTATTTTTAAAAGCAATTTCTTACGAGAATGATTATAGAACAGACTCCTATAATCAAAAAGTGTATCCTCTTGTGTTTTCCAGGCATCTGGCCATCTGAAGAGGTTTTGGCTTACTACTGCCTCAAGCACAGTCATATATTCAGGTACAAAGCTGCACTTAAAAAGATATTTTTTAGCCCCTTGTGGATATTGTATCTGCATGTTAACGATTGCCATGATTGCATTCTTCAAATTAAGTTGTTAGAAACATATAAAAAAGAAAGAGAGAAAGGAAGGAAAGAGGAAAAAAAGGAAGGAGGGAAGGAAGGAAAGAGGAAAAAAAGGAAGGAGGGAAGGAAGGAAGGAAGGAAGGAAGGAAGGAAGGAAGGAAGGAAGAGAAAAGAAAAAGAAAGAAAGAAAGAAAGAAAGAAAGAAAGAAAGAAAGAAAGAAAGAAGGAAGAAAGAAAAAAGAAAGAAAGAAAGAAAAAGAAAAAGGAAGGAAGGAAGG